CAACTTAACTTAAATTCTAAACAATAACTGCAAATACTTCATTCAATCTTCTTCTTATTATTATTACGACTTTGTTCTGTTATCCCTAGCTTCACATCCTAAAGATGCTATTTTGTTAATTCTGGGAACAATTATTTATACATTATTTATAAATCGTATTTAAACTACATTCAATCTAATTCCAATAAATATCCATTAATTGCAACAATCACAAATAACATTATTAACAATAACTTTTTTTAAAAAAGAAACGATAAAAGGAAACAATAATATCATCTTTAAAAAATAAGCAATACAGAAAGTCTCATATATTATATATCTAAAAGAGTAGCAACGCAAAAGTCAAGAAGAGTTAAAATAATAATAATAATAATAAGAGGAAAGAGGTATTGTGTTCCTCACTCTACACAGAAGTTCTACCAGCTCCCTTACCAGCCTTGAGTACCTCACCAATAAACGTTTGTACGAGTCTATAAAAAAAGCACGTAGAAAGAGAAAGAAAAAAACGAAAGAGATAGAGAGAGAGAGAGCTATAGAGAAAGATAAAGAACCATGGTATATACATATATACATATATAAATATATTTAGAAAGAGAAGTGTAGAGATGGTTTACCACAAAATCGCCTTCGGCTCCCAGCGGAATTTTAACTTTTAATAATAATGCGAGGGAGTCTTGCGTTGTTAGGTTATGATAGCGCTAGTAGAGTAACCCATACAAAAGAGAAAAAGAGATATATATATATAGTAGGTGAGGAAAGAGGTGGGGCAAGTTTTGAGGTAGGAGTACTAGGTGAGGAGAGAAGTGGTGAAAGAGGTTGAGGTGAATTAAGGGCGGTAGGAGGAAGCACCAGAGGTTTCTGTACCCTTTCCTCTCCTCTCTTTCTCTTCTTGCTGATACTCCTCTCCTATATACCTTCGTATATACCCAAAGACCGTTTGAAAACCGCAGCACAGGCACCGCCGCCACCGCGTAATTGCCGAGCTCTCACTTACCGCTCGTTCGATTGATTATTATTTTTATGCGATACGACCCAGGTGACCTCGTTCGATCGCTTGCTTGCTTGCTTGCTTGCTTGCTTGCTTGCTGGTTCCTCGCTTCGTCGTCCAAGAATATCGATTATTTCTTTTGAAGAAAAATCTTCTTTACTTGTTCTTTATCTCACTCTCAGGTTCACTCACTCAGCTTTACTCAGGTTCAATCAGTATGGGAAAACTTTATTCATGTTCATTGGATTTATTCATTTTTGGATCTTTTTCAAAAAATAATTCCAAGTCAATAATTGTGTCAGGTGGTTTATAAAAGTTGTATAAATATTGTTAATCTATAAGAAATTAAGTTTATCTTTTATTTCGTGGTTTGTATTAACACGTTGACTGTCATGTCGGCTATACCTGACAAAATGTATGAAACATTCTGAAAAATTGTATTGTTTAGTGCAGTATAACAATCGCGTGAGCCTTACAGAGATTTTCTTGAAAACTATCATGCCAGTCAACGTATTAAATATAATTGTATACGATTTCTTATGAATTTTGTAGCAATTGAAATGTTGGAGAATATCTATCGATGTTTTTTGTTTGTTTATTGGACAATATTCTTGTGACAGTTGATTTGTTTTTTGTTGAAACGAATAAATTAGTGAGGTTACATTTCTTTTGGCTCGTTAAGAAACAATTGATGGGAGTGAATTTTTACGATGCGCGCGCATAGCTACACGTAAAAACAATATAACAGTATGAAGTTAGTCGATATTCATTCGATATATTCAATATTTCGTATTTCTATAACCAAAAAACTTCTTTTATATTTTATTATCATATAATTGTAATTTATTTTTATGCATTAATGATGAACAATTGTTCAAATTTCAGTATTACTCATTAATCAATTTATTTATTAGTTAATGGTGCATTTCTATTAATGGTAAGTAACGTGTTTGTGTGAAGAAAAAAAAATGGGAATGAGAAAAATTGATAACGATTAAACGAAGAGTAGGTTGTATCGTAATAGAACCAACGAAATTGTTCACAATGGGGTTGAGGCAGAACGTATACGGGATCGCCATTTACTCGTAGACTGATTGAAACGCGTTAACGGTGACGGCATTGCTATGGAATATTTAAACGAAACAGGGGTTCCGACCTACCGGTGAGCTGAAGTGAGCTGGAAAACCACAACTCGCTACTACTCCACCCATCGAAACTCCCTATCACCGAAAACTATCACCGCAGAACATTTCGAGGGTTCATAAACAAACGCATCCGGTTGGCCAATTTCAACGAGTCTCTACGAGCAATAAAGTTAAACTGCTACCGTGTTTCTTTTTTTCTTCCCCCTCCCCCACCCCCTTCGTCTTCTTTTGGTTCTTCTTGATCTAGTATATCTCGTCAATGTCAAACAAAACAATGCTCAGCTGATTTGGAACAAATGTTTTTACAGAGCCGCGTGCATGAACTTTGATTTTTCAAAATATCTGTGCATTACATTGTTACAACCCTTTGAGTGCTATAGACACATATATGCGTTTGGTAAAAATTACTAGCGGGGTCGTTCGATATACATGTACTTATTTTCTAATTATATCATTTTATTATTATATATTTAAATTATTATTATATTATTAGAATTTGATTTTAATGATAAATTATTCCGTTTCTACAAAACATTTTAGGTAAAAGTATTCAGCACTATTTTAATTATTCGTACAAAAATTTAAAAAAAAAAAAAAAAGAAAATGGATAAAAGAAATAAATAACCAAAAAACATGTGATTTTCTTTTCACAATTCTGATCAAATGAGCCGTTAATAATATACAAGAAGAAAATTGTAGTAATATCAACAGTATCATCCTTATAAGTAAGATAATACTGAAAGAGTATCTCTTAAACGTAATTTTACGTCGTCGTAAACTGAACGTCAGCGAGTATACCAGATCCATAATAATCATTTGCTCGCATTTAATCCTTCATATCGGCATCTTTCTATGGTAGAAGCGCAAGAAGATGCAACAAAAGAAAATCCAACGAATATTTATACCTCATCCTTGCCACTTTTCTCCCACCGCCAGGTGCCTCGTTTACACGAGGAGGATATAAACTGTTCGGAGAACGTGATCCTTGCTGATAGCCTCGACATTATATTCTCTTTTTCTCTCTCTCTCTCTCTTACACCCTCTCCCTTCAATTCTTCTCCTCTCTTTTTCTATTCCCTGCTGATAGCTTTTTCACATCATTCTTTCTTTCTCTTTCCATCTTTTCTCTTATTTGTCTTCTCTTTCTTTTTATCTCCGATTCATTTTATCTATATTTGCTTATTCGTTTGAGTAAAATGTTAAAACTGTAAAATTCATTTGACATAATCAAAACACTAACTTTTTCTCTTAAATGTAATATTAGGAATTGTTTTTGATTCGATTTTATTTGTTACTGACAAAATTCTATTGTATTTAAGTTCTCTCACATTTATAAAAAAGAAATTTTATTATTATTTAATATTCAATATTTTAAAATTAATTTTCAACTATTTTGTTCGGGATTTTTAATTCTTTATTGATAGAATAATAATGTGCTAATAATAATAATAATAATAATAATTTAATGTACCGATCTTGCTTAATTTTTTTCACTGATTTTTGCCGTTTAGATTCATTTGCATTTTTAACATCAAAATTTCCAGATTTATAAATATTTCACTAAAATCAACTTTACTACATCATATTCATGAACATCTTAAAAATTATTTTTTCACAACCTGACTCATATTCTTCCTTTTTATGTAATAAAATTTCAAAACGTATCAAACATTTTTTATTTAAAATTACTCTACACTGTACACACAAATGTCACCAGAGTTATGCGAACCTTAAGCCATCTATGGCTCAAAATCCGAACAAAAATTTGTTCCATAACCTACAATTATTTCATCGAAAAAAAGAGAAAAAAAACTCTCGTCTTTCATTCTCTACCTTCGTATTCTTTGCCATCTCTTTTTCTTTAATGATCTTCATCTTCTTTTTCTTCATCCTATCGAAAGATCGTTTAAGTATACATAAGAATATCGAATCTAACGACAGGACTACGACGAAATCAAGGTCGAACGACCGTTAAAATAATTCGATCGAAATTTCGCGCGATTACGTATTATGCTAAACACGCGAAAATGGTTTTTTAAATGGAACATCTACATTTATGTGATCGATCCTACCTTCTACCTTCATATAAATCCCCTTTCCCCTGTCCCCTACGCCCCCCTCTTGCCCTTTCCTTTTTTCATCTTTATTTAATTATTTTTTTAATTTTTTCTTTTCTATCTTTTTTTTTCATTTCTTTTCTTTTCTTTTCTTCGTTGTGTCGTGATGAAAGAAACACGACGTCGAATTAAATGCAATTTTCGTTCATCGTGAGCATGCATAACAAATTGTCGAGAATATCGAGTAGCCAATGAGGAGGAACCCTTTTCGTGAACGTCTTTATAGTTAGAAAACCGGCGGCCGTATATTATGCACGTATCACGGATCCTTTCGTCGCGTCTCGATCATTACGTTCTTACGATTATTTTTATGAGCTTCTCCCATAGATAATATCTCATCGTTGTCAAAAATTCTCTACCCCCCTTTTTTTTTTTACTTTCTTTCTTTTCTTTCATTTTTTTTTTTGGATGGGGAAGAGGGGTCTCTCTCTCTTTCTTACTTGCACATAATTTTTCATTTTGAAAACATTTGAGAACTTCAAATGATCTTTGAAATTTAAAGGAAAATTTGAGTCCCTTTTTTTCGTCCTGATTTTTATTATTTTTCACGTTTTTTTTTGTCTGATTTTTCTTTTTCTTTCTGGTTTTGTTTCTTAACTTCTTCACTTGTCCACTTAAAAAAGGTGACTTCTCTTTCTTGATGATACTCGATCCTTGAAATCAAAGATTAAACCGTGCCTCATGGCGTCTCGAAATTTTCAACGCTTCAATTTTAATTACTAACTTGGTTGTTCTTACTTTCTGTTCCAGGATCCAACATCTGTGAGTATGGATTGCTATAATGAAGTATCTCAAAGTGTAATGAACTTTTTACACGAATCGAAAAGTCTCTTCCATGTTTTTTTTTTTTTTTTGGTTTTGTTTTATTTAGGGTTTATTAAGAGGTTAACTAATCTCCTGCATTATAACTTTATCATTGAAATGATAAGACTATAATTTTAATAATGATGACATTTTATGAAAATATATCAGAAAGAAAGTTTGATAAAAGAAAATTCTTGAAAGTTCATTTAAAAAGTTATTTTAAAATTCAACATTTTATTATTTACATTGAAACACTGGTAAATTTAAACAAAAATGATATTTAAAAAGATCTGCAAGATCTATCGTCATTTAATTTATCTTCTATCACAAATCACAAATAAACTGAGACTTTTCGATCATTGTTTCATACATTTGATTTTTTATTATATGTGCAACGACGTCCCATTCGTGGATCACGTGATGCCAAATGATGTCTCGGATAATTTCAACACTTTTCAGGGCGTGAGTATTATTACATCATTTATTATATTTTTGTCTACTAAAATTATGATTTAAATAACAAATGATAACTAATCTTTTCGTTATTGGGATCTCTAGCACTTGAATACTCTATCTGGTGGTTAAATTCTTAATTAGAGTAGATCGAATTGCTACGTCACGTGGGATTTCTAGTACTTGAATACGTAATCTGGTGGCTAAATTCAAAATTAGATTAGATAGGTCGAATTGCTACGCCATGCCCATGCCAGAGATCCCAATAACGAGTATATTCTCTTCAATGATAACTGAAAACAAAAATTTAACCATCTTGTAATTATTAATTTAATTTATGAAACAAATGAAATGAAAATAATTAATAACAGATTATAAAAAAAAGAGATGTGTGTTAAAAAATTACTCTAAAAGAAAGAAAAATAATCGTAAATTATAATTGCATGATATAAAAACAAAACAAAAAAAAAAAAGAAAATATATTTTTATTATAAAAATTGCAATACCACCTTATGTAATTATATAAAATAATAGAAAGAAAAAAAAAAAAAAAGAAAAAATATTACCAATCATTATTCTCTATGTTAAATTTTATGAGAAATATAGGGGGTTATACTTTACTACTTACTATGTTATACTTTATGGGAATAGATAATATATAGGGAAATAACGGTTATACATGCATGTAACACGAAGACAAGAAAGAAAGGGTAGAGGAAAGAGAGAGAGAAAAAAAAAAAAAAGAAAAAAAATACTAAAATCGAAAATACTTTGTTACAAAGTTTATCTCAAAATTACATACTTTCTTATGGTTAAGGGCATTCGAAGAAGTTTTCTCGTTTCGTCTGATACCGCGAAGAATCATGTTAACCGCGAAGCCTTATAATTTCTCCCATACACGCGACGTTTAAGCATGGACCTCGATCTTGGTACAAAGTCTCACATATCTCTCTCTCTCTCTCTCTCTCTCTCTCTTCAGGTTTCAGTTTTCTTTGAAATAATAAATAAGCGGCGTTTGCGGAAGGTACTGCTACGTTCAACTAAACGATGTAATAACGACACTGCAAACACGAAATGTTTTACACTGTTGCGGATCATTAAGTTGCGTCCTTCCATCAGTTAGCATAGCACGTGCACGCGATACTTACAAACTAAAAACCTTCCTTTTCTTTCGAATAATATTATATGAGGAATAAATTTAAACGAAACGAAAATTTGCCGAACTGTGCAATTATTGTATATACCATTATTACAATGAATGCTATATTTTTTCACGTTTATGTATATTTGAATAACAACAATTTTCAATCACGTTCGTAAACATATTATTTACATACATTTCGATACGTTTTATTAACTAACATATTATACCTTCTTTTCTTTCAATGGATGATATTTTTTTTTTTTTTAACATATTTATTTTATATATATAATAATTTAATTTATGGTATCATCCTTCAGTAATTAACAACATTTTGTTTAATACTTTTCACTAAAGACTAATACATACAATTTATTTTTTTAACCGCGTAAAATGAGATCGCGTGAATTAAAACCGCGTGAAAACAACAAAAATTCATGTAAATTTAAACCCGGTATATTAAAAAAA